TATGTAAGTGCTACATCCCCTCGCCTTCAGTCTCCTATGTCGTAATTTTTACAATCTATCACCCGTATGTGTAAGTGCTACATGCCCTCGCCTTCAGTCTTCTGTCATAATTTTTACAATCTATCACCCATGTATGTAAGTGCTACATGCCCTCGCCTTCAGTCTCCTATGTCGTATTTTTTACAATCTATCACCTGTATGTGTAAGTGCTACATGCCCTTGCCTTCAGTCTCCTATGTCGTAATTTTTACAATCTATCACCTGTATGTGTAAGTGCTACATGCCCTCGCCTTCAGTCTTCTGTCATAATTTTTACAATATATCAACCATGTATGTAAGAGCTACATGCCCTCGCCTTCAGTCTCCTATGTCATAATTTCTACAATCTATCACCCATGTATGTAAGGGCTACATCCCCTCGCCTTCAGTCTACTATGTCGTAATTTTTACAATCTAACACCCATGTATGTAAGTGCTACATCCCCTCGCCTTCAGTCTCCTATGTTGTAATGGTGAGCTCTGGTCCTTACCCCGTGTCTTTTTTAAGGTTCTGCAGACGTGATTTCAGTTTATCACACTTCATTTCCATTCTGATGGCTTTCTCACACAGGTTGGTGCTCTGGTCGACAGCTCGGGTGAGTTCTGTTGCCAACTTCCCGTTCTCCTCCTAACCAAGGCAATCAGAAACTTTATACAGGTCAGAGTTCAACTGTTTAAAAAAGTAACATTTCTATTTATATTTTTACTCTAGTAGGCCACTTTATACAAATTTTCCTATCCCACTCTCCATAAGTCCTTAAATGACTTCAGCTGTTATTAAGACGTTAAACCCTATAGATACAACCAACCAACCCACTCTCCATTCAGAAGGCAATCATGTCCAAGTAATTTCTGCTCGTAATTTTTTTCTTCTCAACTTTACTGGCTTATGTAACTTCTTTAAGTAGTCTTGCATCCTGGCACCTTATATTCTTCTTTATTACACATGTAGAAGGTTTAATGACATAACAGTTTTCTTAGCGAGAACTTGATTCATTAAATTGACCTTGCGCTTTGACCTTAGCCACTACTGGGCACTACTTTGATGTGTCGAAAAAAATGTAGTAATTTTTGTAATACTCTGTAATTGTTTTGCTATAGAAATTTTGAGTGTGTGGGAAAATATTTGATGTGCAACTTTTATCTGATTGCAGTGCGGAAATATTTGTGTTGGCAATGCTCTGAAATTTGTTTCAATATTTTATATACCTATAATCTATAAACAAAATTTGGCATGTGGATATTTTACCCCGATTATTTACTCAACATGAAATAGCGAGCATTTTAACTTGTGCCAAAATGTTCACTTTACGAAAGTATTAAATTGTGTTGCTTGACCAAGATAAATGATTTAACTGACAGACAGAAAAGGCAAACACTGAATCCCCTTGGATTATGAAAAGATTCTTGTAACACAAATAATAAGTGTTTCTAAGTGACGTTTCGATGACTAGTACAAATGACAAATGATCAGACAAATGACCATTGAAGCGTATGCACACAAAGGTGTAAAATGTGTACAGGAATTGTCCACAAATCGATGTTGATTTGGTTACGCTGTAAGAGTATGTAAAATTAGTTGTATCCCATTGGTCGTATTCGCAAGAACAATGACATTGATTCTGTATATATTGAACAATTGTAGCACACAGCTACAAATAATTCAATTTGGATCGATACAATTCTCGCCCAGCAGTTCTAAATTTAATTCCAGCAATGCTAAATGTTTATACCTCAAGATGTTTGTTCTTTTCCATGACAGCTCGGAGTTCTTCTGCTGAGGATTCCACACTGGTTGTACTACTGCAGGTACTTCTACAACACAGGTCATATAACTACGGTAACACAGGGGTAGCTCATAGAAAATACTTGGTATAAAGTGAGTACTGAAAGTAGCTGTCACACAGGGTCGTGACGTTTTAAAAGTACAGCATTGCCTAGTTCTGACTTGTACAACAATACAGGGCTGTCTAGTTCTGAGTAACTTTATAAAATCGAACTCCTTGGGACAATTACGACACAGCAATGTCTAGCTCTGGTGAGTGCAACACCACACTGTCTAGTTCTATATCTCTTCATATACTGTCTAACAGTTCCATATATCTACATATATGTTGTTGTCTAACAGTTGTATATCTCTACATATACAGTCTAACCCATAGGGTTAATTACAGCACAACACTATCTAGCTTTACAGCTAAACCATCTTAATGTCAGCCTGTCACTTTTATGTTAATTTTCAATTAAATTCAACAGGTGGTACCCCTTAACAAAGCCGGGAGTCCTGCGGTAGGATAGATGCTTAACTGGAATAACCCATAAAACAATAAAGTCTAGTAATAACTATATATTAAAGTATTCTGATTAAAACACCATAAAGGGAGATAATCGTTAAGAGTCTAATTCATGTTAACATTGATTTAAACTAAAAACTAGACTTCACATTTTCATACGTGTTTTTCAAATGTTTGATCTCTATCTGACAGTTCATAAAGGAAGCAAAATATTTAAGTATTTACAGTTTATAATCTTAATAGTTCACTGATGACTGTTACAATGCTGTTATACGTACATGGTTGAGATTGAGTCGGGACAGGTCGCACCTCCTCCAATTAACTGTAACTGTAACTTCTGGACCTAAATACACAAGAAACAGTCAGGTAAGTCAACATTCACACATTGCCAAGTTAAATATGAAATATCAGTAAATTGAACAGCAGTGGATAATTTCAAATTCCAATAAGTTGCAAAAATAGGTTTATATATTTCTGCAACATTTCTTTCAAATCCCCCGTCGTTACTCATTGCCTTCTTCATACAGGAGTGATTAAATATTTTTCTCCCCCACTTTCCTAGAGTACTGTAAAAATAAAAGTTGAAATGGTGAAGCCACTACTTTATGACATCATCAAGGGTGCATAAAATGTGGCGCAAAATTGATAATGCTACTGTGGTTCCACTGCATAAATAGATGGTGACGTCTTCAGAATAGCATTTGAGCTATTTTCCTGGGTAGGTCAAGACAGATTTATCTATATTACCCAGCAAAAGGGGGAATGCACCTGTGAAATGATGGGTTAATCCTACTGTCACATGGACACCAGTAGCAGGACTATATAGGATACTAATTTGACATTTTATTGAAGCCAGTTCTAGAAGATACCAAGCAAGGATTAGGGCTGAAGCGATAAACACACTTCATGATAAGATATGTATCAAGATACTTATATCTGCTTAAAAAAAAAAAATCTGTTATGTTTGAGTGCAGTATTTCAAAGAGTTTTTTCAAAATCTTAAATAGTAAATACTATTAAAATATACTTTTGCATGATTTTAGTACTTTTGGGTATGACTGCACAGTGGACCACATCTTCACAAACGGATTCCAAAATAATAAGAACTATTTTTAGAGTTAAATAGAAACCTGATTGATAATTGCAGCATTGTTAAGTGTATCGGGATACAGGCAAACAAAACATTTCGTTATGATACGCAAAAAAGTGTCGTGATAGGACACGGTTCAATGAATCGTTTCAGCCCTAGCAGGGATATTACTGACATTGGTACTGTGACATATATATATATACCTAGCCAAGACTGAATTGATGCTAGCTGTACTATAGATAAATTATAAAACTTCATATACATCAGCACTACAATGAACTCACCAGGGATTTCAGTCTCATTATTTCCTCTGTCTGAGGATCCCGGTTGACTATTGGTTTGTTTTTGATTTTCCGTGCTCTGTCGGCATACCGTAGGGTATTGAGGGTTTCCTCCATGTTTGAGTCAGCAGGGCTTACACAAGCAATCATTACAGTATGACTGTTTCCACCCAGTGAATCTGTACAAAATAAATGGATATTTTTACAGTACTGTAGAAAGAAGCTATAAGTTATATGTATATTAATCATAATGTTCGCCTGCAACAGTGAGCATAATCTACAATCAGATCAAGCTGATCTCTATCAGGTAAATCGGGAGACATATCTGTGAAGGATGGGAGAAAACATAATGACTTTATACTAATAAACCAAGAAAAGGTGATAAAATCTATTACAGAGAAAAGGAATTTCTTGAGAGACAAAGACTGACCTTGTAACAACCGCGTAAGTTTGGAATCCCTGTACGGAATATGATTACGCTTGCTTGCTTCCTCCCCGAGAGCACTGATGACATTACCCAGGGCCAACAGACCGCGGTTGATATTAATGCCTTCCTTGAACCTCTCCCCTTCTGCCTGGGTCCTCTTGGCTCGTTCTGAACCAGCCAAGTCAACCAAATAAAACTTTGACTTGCAGAAGTCATTCCTGTCAACACAAGTCATATCAAACTGTTAACAATTATGGAAAAAAAATGATGGTTTACAATATACTTGAAAACATATCTAAATTCATTCTTTTCTCTCTATTTTCTTTCCAAAGAATGTTGTGGTTTTTTTCTGTCTTGCCTCTAACAAAGAATCTGGGGTGGAGTTAACTGCTGGTCCATGGTCAGTGGTTTTCTGGGCAAACCAACTGATTTTTCAACAAGCTATCCCGCCGGGCCAGTAGACATTTTGCGAATTTATCTAAAATTTCATTTTAAAAGCTTCGTTTTAAGCCCTGAATGCATTTTTTTCAGTCTTTCTTTGCCCTAAAACAAAATATTGGATTAAATACAAGCAAAAAATCTTAAATGTATCATTATCAGTACCAATAAATTTATGTGGGCAAATTAAAATCAGAGCAAACTTGTTTTAAATGGTCATGTTGCAAAACATTTATGATGTGAACCTTGTGGTAAAACTGCATTAGGGCAATCACCATTTTCCACCCTAAAGTCACACAATGCAAGTTTCCATTTTCCTATCTAAATGCAAAAGTAAAACTGCGTAAAACGTTGCCAAATACTTACATGTCATCCTGCTTCTTCTGTTCAATGGTGACGGTGAAGATGGCGTGTGATCGACTAGATGTGTTGTTCATGGCCGTAGAACCGGTCGTCCTGCTTTGGGAACCTCGGGTCAAACACTGCATGGTCTCTTTGTAGGATTTCACCACCACCTCCTGAAGTCCTGGCAGCTAGACAAAAGTAAATTCTAACAGTGAAATATACCCTAGGGAATATCCAGGAAACATTTATTTATGATAACACTTTAATACATATATATATATACATGTGTCATCTTACTTCAGCGATACATGCTGTTTTACTTTCTATTGTTTTTCCCGTTTCCCGACCGCCCCTATTTTTCATGCTGACCCTAATACATTTTCTTTGTGTTTTTTTCACAGTCACTGTTATCCATTTATTAGCCATTTAATTGATCAAAGTGTTTAATTGTTATGCGTTTTATTAGCCTTGGCTTGTGGTAAGCGTCTGAGTTTTATTTAAGGATAGTAGTTAAGTAGCAGTAGATAATTGTGGTTATGATATAGGTTGGAATCTGTACATGTATATTAGTGTGACTGTCTGTAGTCTAGGGTGGGGTAGTCCAGTCTGTGATGTCAGTGTTTGTGCCTCCAGCTGGTGCTGACAGCTAGAGTTAAATTTAGCAGGATTTATGGCCAGTTTAATCTAGTCGTATAGGGATTGAAATTCAGCAGGATTTCAGCCACATCAACAATTTTAATGTAGCAGGATTTCGCTAAGGACATATAGTAAGGTAGTTCAGCTTAGCTTGGGAGTCGAAGGAAGAGACAGAGTTGGGTTGGGAAATTGAGTTAAGGTCTGTAGTCTTGAAGAAGGAGGTTGAGTTAGGGAGACTCAGTCGAGAGGTCAAGAGATATAGGACGGATAAAAAAACTTGTGTTGTAAATATAGTGTAAAATTGAGAACAGAAAGCATTAATAATACGAAAGAGAACGTAACACTGGTGACCATCGGTGAAGTTTGCTCAACACAAAAACTAGGAAAGGAGGGATTTTTTTATTTGCGTATTTATTTCACATGAATAAAAAATCATTTATATTTGGTGCCATTCATACATCATTAAAACAATGACATATATATTCTTAACATTCACGGAGGTAATCAGGAGATTTTCTTCACCAAAATAAAATGTTTCCCTACCTACCCTTTTATTTTTTCTTGGAGCCGAAAAAAGGAAACACACATATATTATTATTTGGCCTAAGTGTTATAAAGTTTCATACCTTGATTCCCCCCTCAGTGTCTTCTCTGATAGACAGGGGCTCCCTCCGGTTTGGGGGACGCAGCAGATCATTGATGTCTTCATTGTGTATCTAAGGACAAGTGAATCAAATGTCACAAAGTTCAATCCAATATTTAATCAGCTGATAACATTACTAGATATTATAACTATGTCTACTGGTATTTATATTAAAGTAAACCTGATAAATTTACCCTACTTATCAATTCTGCCTGCTCCATTGTGAGTGTTTGTTTACTTATAGTTGTGAAGATTTTTTGTTCGATCTTACCTCTATGTAGGAGACTTTTGTTACGAAATCATAATCAGGTCTTGCTAGGATTCCTTGAAATAATTCATTTAATACACGTGGAATGATGCCCATGGCTGTTTCTTCTTCCTTTAGAGACTCTTCGTAACACCCTCCCATGGAGAAGGTCTTGCCACTGCCTGTTTGGCCGTACGCTAACACTGTGGCATTGTACCCTGTCAGATAGACAAAGTCATTCAATTGAACTACTTTATATATAATATATTCTCAGTTTATGTGCAACATCTGTAACCCTCTTTGCACCACTGGAATATGTCATGAAAAAGTCGAAGGCATGCGCTTAGCTATTTGATTGGTTTGTTTCAGGTCAAAAAAAAAAAGACCAATAATATGTATACCTGTTCTGAAAATATTACAGAGGAACAACTTCAAAGCCAGTCAATTTACTGTTAAAAGGTCAGACTTGTCTTCTTGTATCATTCATAAAATGCCATGTAAATACTGAGCCTTCGATTTTTCAGGCCATATTCCAGCTGAGGTGCTAGAAAACTTGAGAGATTGTAACATCTGAAATGTTGAGGATGCTGTATTTTAAACCTGTTCACTCTTATTGTAATAAATCTAAATGTTGAAAGTATTAAAGTATTGAAAAGGTTAACATTGAGACCACCTAATAGTGTAAAAGAAGTAGGAAATTTCCCTTTAGCTCAGCGGTAGAGCTGAGTGTTTGTTTACTTATAGTTGTTGAAGTTTGTTGAACCCACGACCCTTGGCTCTCCAGCCCCAGCAATGGCACTATCTTTATCACTATTTCTCCTCCCATTACAATAGTTGACATATATGTTAACATTTATTTTGACACGAATTCCAATGTAGCAGGGACAAAAGGGGTTGTCCCTGGTCCACTGTAATTCATTGATGAGCTAATAGTGGAGATTCTGTATATACTACATGTATCCACAGTGGTAATCATCTGAATTGTATCGGATGTTCAACTTATAAGGAACTTTGTGTCTCCAACCCCCTTGAGTGATTTCTTTCGACAGTTTTAAAATATATATATACATATCCTTAAATAAAAGAACGAGTTTCAAAGTAATTATATGAGTACACATATGAAGGCCTAGGCAAATCTTTAATTTATCAATTTACTGAACAACAAAATCATTCATAAAATTCTTTATCAAAGCCAAAGTTGGACAACAGAATAAGACCAAATCAAAAAAGTTGTTTGTTTCCAGTTACCTTAGGCCTACCTATACCCTAATTGTTTGTGCACACCCTAAACTTTTGTGTGCAATTCCCATGGAAATGCTGTTAAAATCAAGATCATTCTCCTATATAAACCTTAATATAAAAAAGATTGAAAAATAAGATATGTTACCTACCTAAATACTTTATTTTTTTCAGGCATGTAACAAGAAACAAACATTTTTTTTTACTTTAACTATACTGACCTTTAAAAATATGTTTAATAAGAGGGTGGACCGACATTTCATACACCTCTGATTGACTATTACAGGGACTAAATACATAGTCATAGGTGAATGCCTTCATCTTTCCAAGGATGATCTGTGGTTCATTCTTTGTAAATTGGACACACTTTTGACAACCCTCATTTTCCTCTTTTTGTATAAGTGGCCGACAGCGTACTGCCACACGAACAGGAATGACCTTGTCCGACATCCTGCTGCGAAACAGAAAAGATGAAAACATAACTTTTTAATAACAGTCATTTGAGTCACTGACTCACAGCCAAAAAAATATATATTAAAAATGAGTCCAGAGCACAAATGTCTGATTATGGAAAATAGAAGTAAGCATGAAGGTTTTGACGACAGAGAATATAACTTGAACATGAATATCTGCAATATCCAACCGGCATTAAAATATTATTGACGATGGCTGGCCTGGTAGAGCTACACCTCGACAACTGGCCCCAATCCTCGTGAGGAATGCTAGTCGTTTGGGTAACAAGTCGTTTCGGGACTTAAAAAATGTTCATTTATAAATTAAATTTCACTCCCGTTTCGCATCAAGTCCTGTAAATACACAATTAGTGTCAAGTATGGTTTTAGTCTATAATCTTTGTGTCACAACCTACCCATGCTTGGGATCATTAGTGTTACCAGATTGCTAGTGCTTGAGGGGATACCTACCAACATTTACCCGATTCACTATAGTCTCCATTATTGACATTAAGAGACGAATAAGTTAACATTTATGTTAACAATGTTTTAGATATGTGAATCAATTAATCAAATCAAGCAATATATTTTGAATGACGTTTTCATGTTGTGTATTTGTGTATGTGTGAATATTGCATATACATGTATTTACTTCATGCAGAAAACTTATATATGACAATGATTTGTAATATATACGTCTCTGCTTCATGTTTTATTAAAATCATGTATTTGGTAAATTTGACTTAATTTAAAATAACTAAATAAAATACATTCGTCAACTACGTTTAACCGGTATACATCATTACATGAACATTGATATTTATGACTTGATCGACCAAGAACGTTGTCGTTGCTTTGTAGAACTTCGGAACATCGGCCTTGAGTCTGATGGCAAAGAGTTCTACCACAGGTGCTCGGGTTCTGGAATATATGTGATATATTATCGCGATCGCACCCCACTAGATATCTTTACAGAAATTGAAAAATCCCGAAACGACTTTTGACATGTCCCGAAACGACTTTCGTCTTGTTACCGAAACGACTTCTAACCGAAACAATCTGACACCCTCGTGAGCCCAAAATTGTTTTACGGAACATTATTTGATTGTGTTGTGCATCGTCATTAAGGGTTTTATTTTTAAATTGCAAGGAGAAGTAAAGCAGGTTACATGTAAATGGAAACAGTCCATTTGGCCGGCAGTGACAACTGACTACGCTGTTGCACACATGCACATTCGGACCACGGCACAGGGACACGGTTCAATTATCAATTTATATCGGAGGCCTCTGTTTACCATGCATAATGGTAAACAAGGAGGCATCATATATAAATTGAACCGTGCCCTTGTGTTCGGACCATATTCTCGGTGTTTTCTAAACGCAATCAAGTCTGCTGTGAATTTGCATTGTGATTTTCCACGATCTCGAGTAAAATGCCACGTTTAACTGTTATAACAACACAAAACAAATTCAGTGATCACAAAATAACGTAGGTACAGTAGAAACGAGACTGCACGACATTAATATAGTTCAGGAATTAAGTTAAATCATCTGTGTGTCTCACCTAGTTCCCTAGTATTTTCCGTATTTTGAACGTGCCGCAAAAAATCCACCAATCGTAGTCGAGCTTTCATATTAGGTTGGGCGGGATCGAGGCAAAAAGCAGTTACTTCCCCTCGGTCGTTAATGATTTTAAGGTTGCACAACACTAAATGAGATTGCCTCGAGACGTGCTTCTACATGTACTTATATTGTCAGTATTTCACAAATAATAAATAAAAATAACATACCAAATGTTAATATTCATAGCATTTATTTATTTGTTTATCAAACCGTTTTCTCAATAAGAATTTAAGGACTGTAACATTTTTTTTCGTGGTTAAAATAGTTTTCTATCGAATTTACCTTAACTAAGTACCTCGCTCTGCGATATTCATAATTGATTATTTTTTCTTGTATCATTGTTTGACACAGAGACGTATAATACATGTAGTATACGTCTCTGTTTGACAGAAGAACATAACACCCACCCACGCATCATACAGATATATCGTTCTTTTGAAAGACATTCTTATTTTAAAGAGTTGATCTTATATCGGCCTTACCCATGAGAAAATAACAAAATGTTATACAGAACAAACTTTTAACCCCTCACGGAATACATTGCCTGCCTCTGACACTTCCAGTTTTCTAAACAGTATCTATCACACCAGGGACGTACATACGTTTAATTTAATTTAATAGTCTCCGATCACACATATCAATGTTATAATTAAAAAAAGACTAATTCCCCTTTCTCGCTCGTTTTCATTTTTTTTTTTGCTGTTTATGTGTGTTTTGTTTGTTTGCCTTTTTATAATTTTATGAAATAACATATTTCCTTTTCATTTGATATTTCAATGCTTAAAAGTTTTATTGCACAACCCCTGTTTAAGATTCCAGATCCGGCCCTGATAAAGCAAATTTTGTAAATTGACAGAATACACACTTATACAGACAAATTAAGAAAAAAGGCGGTTTAATTGATGACCAGGGGAAACAACTAATGAAGACGGATTATTTAATTTGTCAAGATACCATTTGTTTATTACCCAATACACACGAGCAGGAAACATATATTTCTATTAGCAAATGTCGATATAATGCCCCTCGTTTGAAGGTTGTTTTCTCGTTTTATTTAAGAATACTTTTTTACGTTTATCCGGCGTTTTTTAAAGATTTATATCTGTTTCCGTATCATTTTCCAGAGGGTAAATCGGACGAAATTGAGACATTCTACATTAAATAATGTTTTTATTGCATTTTATATCAGCATATATAATTTCTGTTTCTGAAAACACATTCAGTATGCCAGTGTAAGCAGTATTTTTTTTATAATATATATATTTTTAGATATTGATATATATTTTTAGATATTGATATATATTTTTAATATTGATATATATATTTTAATTTAGTAGATTCGCCTGCGTACCAGCGTATAGGCAGCTACTCGCCTGGGGTTTACTGTAAATTTATAACTTTTCTGTTGATCTAAGTTTTCTATTTTTCACTGTTTCTATCAAACGAGTTCGCATTAATTATATTAAAACGAAATGAAATAACGTTTATACTTATAACATAATTCTAAGTTTATATTTTCACTCATAATATATTACCACATTAAGAGCTATTGTGGACATCCCGCGAGGCACATGCGGGTGTTCCCTCCTCCAGGTGAACGAACTTTTTTACTTGAAGCGGCATTTCAGAATATTTTCCCGACTAATCCAAGATCGAAGCTAATACGTTTCATGTAAATATTGATAAATGACAAAGTAGACAAAGGTCGATAATTGATCATGCCGAGAGCTCTGTATCCGAGTTAGCATTATCGACAGCGATACATCAAAATAGTTCAAAAACACTATATTTCCGTGAAATACAAAGAAATCGTCTGGCACAGATGTTACAAGATATGGATTATTTAAAGAAAGTGGGTGAAAGGTCAATCTCTTTGCAAGGTACTTGCATCAGGAATATGAAAGTTGATATCTGTATCCATTCCAATGTAAAGATATAAGGCGTTGGCAAGACACAGTTTCCACTAGAGACGATATAAAGTTAATTTTATACCACAACTAGGAAGGCCGTGCTCAGAGTTTCCCCCTGAACATGAAGATCAATAACAAAGGAAACCACCCAGAGCTATACTTACATAATTCATGTATTAAATGGGAAATATATAAATTTTGAAAGTATAAAAAAGTTTGATTTGAATTTCAAATACTGATTCTATACTCTACGTTGCACGGATACAAGGGATGGAGATATTGCAAAGAGTTTTAAATGTCGACCTAGGGGAGGGGGATTATTTTTACCCCCGAATGTGTGAGGAAAAGTTTTTCCCCTTTGATTTACTTATTTAAGTTAAACTATCTTTGAAATCTAAAGGTTTCGTCGATCTTGATACAATATATCAAATATAAAATAATGAGTTCGTATTTCAAGGTCCAAAGGTCAACGTCAAAGTCATAAGCTTAACAGTTGATATGTTGTCAACATGTTGATCATCATCAGTATACCGACTTAAAGGGAAGAGTTGAGTTGAGGGGCGGGGGGGGCATATATTACAGACGTTTTCTAGGTGTTTTTTTAATTTAACGTCTGTAATCAATAATAAAGTGATTTGTCATATGCATCTAACATAAACACATTAATTAGCAATGTCCTATTTTATTTGGTTTCCGAGACGATGTTTCTTTTCATGTTTCATATCAATCTGCTTTAATTGCGTTTGAAACACTTTATAAATAAATAAATTGAGAATTATTCATACATATGCATGCGTAAATCAATTTCCTCCTATGCATAAATCAATCATCGTAAAATGGATACATAAAGTCTGCATACATGCCATAATTTAATTCCGGCGTCCACATATAACAAACTATAGATGTATTTCCTGAAAATTTAAATTCGTTATCGGTTTTATATTGTCACAACACAAAGGCCATAGGTCAAGCTAGAGAGTCAGCGTGAAATGTATAGAAATAGAGTAACTGCGCTCAATGTTTCTGAAATTGTGAGCGTCTCTCAGGGTTATACCAGTAACACCGCTGAAAAGGTTAGGTTTTAAGTAAGGCAGTACTTCCCTATCTAATTCCATGACTATGTACACTTTTCCCTATCAGTGAAGTCTCGTCCTGAGACTTGGCCTGAGGAAACCCATAGGTCCTCCCTGTGTACCAATGCACCTTCCTTAATTGACCAAGGTAACTGTCATTACAAATTGTATGTACCACAGAGTCACGACGCCGCCACAGCTGGCCGGCGAGCGGCCATTCAGTCACTGACCACGATCGACTTTGCTTAACTAGTGAACGCTTCTCAGGATTATACAACATCGCTGAAAAAACTGGATTGTTGATAACCTAGTATTTATGTCGCTTATTTCTTGTTTTTGTTTTACGGTAGAAAGCCAAACGTAGGTTATGTAACAGAGTCATGTGAAACCGATCTGATACTCAAGAATTGGTTCTGTGCTCAAACCAACTTCTTTTCCACCCTTTAATTATGTGACATATGTAAGAAGTCAAGTGTAAACATTGACAGCAATATCTAGATTTAAGTCAGTCCGAAATTCTTCCATTTCAGAATTGTGCTTTTATAATAAATTTATCACCGGAACAAGAAATTGGGCTAGAGTACAAAATCTGAATTTTAGCATGAGAACGAATTCACGAATATTGAAAGAGATAGAGACGCATCATGCGAAGGATAGTATAAGAGAACAGAAATCATGCATTGGCCGTAATACGCCGGTTGGCAAGGGAGATGGTTGTCAAGGGAGAAACATCCGGGAACGAATTGCAATAGAGTAACGAACAACAGAATGGTAGCATGATGAAACATAGCAATAGAGCAGGTCGTACGACGACGAGTGCCAAGGTAGACTCTGTGGAAGGAAATGTTCCGACTGAGTAAAGGAGAAACTTCGATAAAGATTTAAGATCGAAGCAAGCAGGCACATGTCAATGTAATCTACATGGAAACTTAGTAGAAGGCTCAGAATATAACCTCGATTCCAAATTGAACATTCGTCACATTTTACAATAGAATAACACGGCGGGCAAGTTTGCGTCCTATAGATGAGATATGCGTCAAACGCGAATAAGAGGAGGAGAAGACAACTCACAAAGAGTGTATTATGTAACGTCACAATCGCAAGTGTTTACTAAGCAACGCCGTGCTATGCAACGCGACACAACTTCCTTGCTCTATGACAATGGCGACAGACGAAGAAAACGGCGAGGCAAAAGTCATGTATGACAGCGAGCTATCTTTGGAGGACCCATACAAGGCTCATATTATATACAGTGAACAAGAACTCGCCTCCTCGGACGAATCAGAGGATTTCACTTCCTCAGACGAATCCACGGTTGATTCCTTGGAGGCTCTGGAGGCCGTTCAACTTCCGGTTTTGTCAGTGTCCCAGCGCTTTGGTCATTTGATCACGGGTCAACTGTCGAAACTCAGACAAGACGTTGAATTCACTTTCCCGGCGCACACGGTATTGAAGGACGACGAAACTCAGACAGACTCGGTGGAACACACTTCGGCCTCTACCAACAGCGAAAATGAAGTCGTCGACCTGACAGACGTTCTTCAAATGCAGTCGACCATCCGCACACTTACCGATATTTTAACATCAGTTGTGCAGTTATCGAAAATTGTGTCATCGGCAAGAGATGCTACAAAACATATCGTAGCGAACAGAAATGTATTGGAAGGTAATTATATACGATGACATAAGATCCCAAACTCCAACAAACAAAATGTCCAACATGCACTCCTTTGCTCATATTAAAATGAAATAAAAACCCGTTACCAATTCAGAAAATAGTTTGTAAAAGAATGTGCAAGAATTCACATGAAAAACTGTAAACAGCGAACTATTTGCCATGCTTTTATGATTTATGTTTTATGTATTTTTTTCTTTGTAGAGGTTCGTGCCAAATGTGATGTATTGGAAAAAGATATTGGCGATCAAATCGGACACAATGTGAGTAAAGCAAAACGGACAGAAGTCGACTGCAGGGATCAAAGAACAGAAATGAACTCCATGAATCAACGGACAGAAGTCGACTCCTCGGACCAGCGGACAAACGCATGCTTTGAGGATCGACGAGTAAGTTTAGAGAAATAGAAGGGTTATCATACACCTAAAGCACAAGAGCCGTGATAAATAATGAAACTGAACTGATAAAAAAAAAAAAAAAAAACATACAGAGGCAATTGTGTGTTACGTCTTTAGCACATATTTCATGATAAATACATTTTAACTCCTTACCCACCCTAGGTTTTTAACAATCAGGCAAACCATATTATTCAAATAAATCGATAAAGTATACATATGGAGTTTTTAATGTTTACATCTACCAAAACCTACATTGTCTCGTTCATTGAGTCATGATCTAGCACAGGGGCTTGTATAGATTTATTTATTTATACAAGGTGTACTTACTGTACATGTCATGGCGGCGATAGTTGTAGGATTCCGACGAATATCTCTCTTTAAAGACTTGATTATTATGGTAATGTATGTTGTTATTTGCATTAGAATACTTCACAGTACTCAAACATCTATTCCTGTAAAACATATTAAACAAGTAAATAAATAAAAGAAGATATAATATAAAATAAAATAAAAAATAAATAACAACAGGAAATAGTGAAAGCATTACTTCAAGGCCATTCTTAAATCTAAAACTGACCCTTACTATTGTCAGGATAGTCTACCTATCACGTGGAATGATTTAAGTGAGAATTGACGGTTTTGCCAAAAAATGCGGGGAAATACGGAAACTGGGATTATTGCGCTAACAATAGTGTTTTGTATTACAGCTGAGCCCTACAGCGTCGATTTGCCGACTTTCGGGGCTGCTTCAGCAGGCCCGGGACTCGGAAGGGTTGTCCCGGGACACGGAGAAGAGACAAGGACAGGGAATCTTGGTCGGGGATATGATGAACATTCTGTCTGTTGTTCGGGAAATGATCAATGACATTACCTATCAAATGTAAGTGACAGACTATTCTTACGTAAGTTTTACTCCATGATTAAAATTATAGATGAAGATTTAAAATGCAAGGTATCTATTTTATATATTTTGTGTTCGATGGCCAATTGCGAGTTCGAAAAATTTCAAAAGATTACTAGAGATTTTTCTGGAATACCTTCAATTATTTTTGGGGTTTATTCCGTATATATACTAAAACGTATTTTTATTGGTATATATCGCATTGATCAACCCCAACCCAACCCAAAATAACAGTAGTTACTGGTTGGGCTGTCTGCTATTAGGGGGATAGCCCGAATTCAATTATGTACAATATGATGACGCACCATAAGTTCTTCACGTTACATCATTTCCACCATCGGAATCTACATGTATGTAAATTTGTTATTTTTAATTTATTTTTTTATGTTGACTCCAATTTTGATAAAAACTTACATCCTGTAAATGAATTATAAATTGTTTTGGTTGTTGATATTCATTTAATTATCTGTGGCTCTGTTTTTGTGAGATAACTTTTCTTCTCTACAAAAAGTTACAGTTGACGTCATATCCATGGGTCACAATATCAACAATTTACAGTTGGAGTTACTCGTCATAACTACAAATCTAAGTAAGGGATTATTATATAAATATATTCAAGAGAAGCACGGCGTAGTCCTCTATATGTGTGAAACATGAATTTTATCAAAATCCGACGAATAACGACGTCGATAATTTGATTGAAATAATTAAGTGTATTAACTTAATTAGAATGGCATCACGTGAGATACCAGATAGCACCTCACTGTATTTATCTCCGTCTGTTCATATCGCGACTTCAAATGCTCGCAAATCAGTCATTTGAAATGCAGTATTGAAACTTAGTATTCACGAAAATTACTGCAATTCGTGATTTTTGTCGTGTATTTTATTTTAGCAGTTCAAGGGCTGAAACAAGGGAATCACATATTCAGGTTAACATAAACTGGCTGACCCCGAACATTTCTGTAAAAATAATAATAATAATAATAATATCTATTCAGGTAAAATAGGCATGTTATTACAAGATATCACAATTTAGAATAAAACATACAAGTAAGATCACAATGCAGCTTGTAAATAAAAAGAATATTTTGTATTAAGACAGAATAAGAATAGATCTATCATAATAAAAGGTTTCTTAATTCAATCCTTGCCATATATCACAGAGTATAAAAATCTAAAAAAAGTCTAATACACTGTAAAAAAAAGGCAGATATTACTAGAAAATGAGACAGACTATTTTTTAGTACATGAAGGTAGATATAAATAAGTCACATAATAGGAGTGGTGTGTGCCATTTACATAAGATTACCCATAAAAGCCACAAAGTGGCTTATTTTCGATGGGGTCCAAATAACAGTAAAAATATGAAAATCAATACGGTAACGGTTCAGATAGCACAGAACAGGATATGTGTGTAACATATTAGATAATTGATCGGTAGAATTGTATTTCCATTTACATAGAAAAAATAAAACAATGTAAATAATTATCCTCAAAATTTTATAGATTTACAGTATGTTCCCGATAGGTGGCGCTAATAGTTATATAAATTTTCTGATGTAGCCGTTAGGGTCTCGCATGTAAAAGTTCCTTGGCCGTGACAATGGACCGTTTAGGACGCCCATCCATTTTCAAAAGAAAGAGGAAGTGAACGCCATCTGTAATGTTTCGAATTGAAAACTATTTTCTCGTCGTTCTTTTCAGGAATTCGATGACAGCCAATGAATGCAAAACAATTGATATCGGCGTGAATACCGTGATTGATCACAGGACTACCTCTCGCATTCTGGCAAGTGATGGTGATGAGGTTGAAAAACCCGGCTCACGTCCAGAAGATGTCAAGGGCAACAAGTTGACGGAGAAATTACCGGAAATGCCAACGAGAGGTGTCGAAAGAGAATTATCCCTGGGCGTTTTAGCTTCGTTTTATTCGGCCCTCTCCCATTTTTCGAGCGAATCAAGTCTTGATATAGTAATACCTAGCAAATCACGTGTCAGAGATGGTGACAAGGCAAAGACTTGTGTTGGTGTTGAAGACACAATTAGTGCCGGGAATTTATTTGTGTCAGAAAGTGACCATGAACAGGAAACCGGCTCTCCTTTTGGTGTCAAAGACGAAAATGTAGACTTCATGGAGTCTAAACATAAAACTGCGGACGAGCTAGGTGACCACAATTTAGAGGAATCATGCCTTGCGAGTGTTGGTAGTCGCGGCTTGGGCCAGGGAGGTTTTGGTAGTCAAGACTCGATCCAAACAGGTGCTGGTGATAAGGACTCGGACCAAGCTCGAATAAGTCAACAACGAATGAGCCAGACATGTAATACAGGTCAAGAATCGGACCAAAAAAGCATTGGTGACCAGGAAGGTATGGTAGGTCGCGACGCGGGACAGGCAGATTTTGCAGAAAAAGAATTGGGTCATGAAGGTGGTGATGGTGGCGGCTTGAACCAAGGCGGTGTTGGTAATGGCGGCTCGGACACAGGATGTGTTGGTGGTGGCGGCTCGGACCAAAAAGGTGGTGTTCGTAGCGACTCTGGCCAAGAAGGTGCTGGTGGTGGCAGCTTTGACCAAGAAGGTGTTGATGATGGCGGCTCTGGTCAAGTAGGTGTCAATAATAGCGGCTCGGAACAAAGGGGTGTTGGTATTGGCGGCTCAGGCCAAGTAGGTAATGGTGGTGGCGGCTCGGACCAAGGATGTGTTGGTGATGACGGCTCGGACCAAGAACGTGTTGGTGGTGGTGGCTCGGACCAAGGAGGTGTCGGTGGTGGCGGCTCGGACCAAGGAGGTGTTGATGATGGCGGCTCGGGCAAAGAAGTTGGTGGTGGAGGCTCGGGCCAAGGAGGTGTTGGTGGTGGTGGCTCAGACCAAGGAGGTGTTGGTGGTGGCAGTTCGCACCAAGGAAGTGTTGGTGATGGCGGTTCGGGTCAAGAAGGTTTAGGTGGCGGTGGCTCTGGCCGAGAAGGTGGTGGTGGTGGTGGATCTGGCCAAGAAGATGATGGTGGTGGCGGCTCTGGCCAAGATGTTGGTGGTATCGGCTCGAACCAAGGTGGCGTAGGGGGTGACGGCTCTGGCAAAGAAGGTGCTGGTGGTGGCGGCTCTGGCAAAGAAGGTGCTGCTGGTGGTGGCTCTGGCAAAGAAGGTTTTGGTGGTATCGGCTCGGACCAAGGAGGCGTTGGTGGTGGCGGCACTGGCCAAGAAGGTGCTGGTGGTGGCGGCTCAGGCGAAGAAGTTGTTGTTGGTGGGGGCTCTGGCAAAGAAGGTGTTGGTGGTGGCGGCTCTGGCAAAGAAGGTGCTTGTGGTGGCGGCTCTGGCAAAGAAGGTGTCGATAATAGCGGCTCGGAACAAAGGGGTGTTGGTATTGGCAGCTCAGGCCAAGGAGGGTTTGGTGGTATCAGCTCGGACCAAGGAGGCGTTGGTGATGACGGCTCGGACCAAGAAGGTGTTGGTGGTGGCGGCTCGGACCAAAGAGGTGTCGGTGGTGGCGGCTCGGACCAAGGAGGGGTTGGTGATGGCGGTTCTGGTCAAGAAGGTTTAGGTGGCGGTGGCTCTGGCCAAGAAGGTGGTGGTGGTTCTGGCCAAGAAGATGATGGTGGTGGCGGCTCTGGCCAAGAAGATGTTGGTGATATCGGCTCGGACCAAGGAGGCGTTAGAGGTGGCGGCTCTGGCAAAGAATGTGCTGGTGGTGGCGGCACTGGCCAAGAAGGTGCTGGTGGTGGCAGCTCTGGCGAAGAAGTTGTTGTTGGTGGCGGCTCTGGCCAAGAAGGTGTTGTTGGTGGCGGCTCTGGCAAAGAAGGTGCTGGTGGTGGCGGCTCTGGCAAAGAAGGTGCTGGTGGTGGCGGCTCTGGCAAAGAAGGTGTTGTTGGTGGCGGCTCTGGCAAAGAAGGTGCTGGTGGTGGCGGCTCTGGCAAAGAAGGTGCTGGTGGTGGCGGCTCTGGCAAAGAAGGTGATGCTGTTGGCGGCTCTGGCAAAGAAGGTGCTGGTGGTGGCGGCTCTGGCAAAGAAGGTGATGCTGTTGGCGGCTCTGGCAAAGAAGGTGCTGGTGGTAGCGGCTCTGGCAAAGAAGGTGCTGGTGGTGTCGGCTCTGGCCAAGAAGGTGTTGTTGGTTGCGGCCCTGGCAAAGAAGGTGCTGGTGTTGGCGGCTCTGGCAAAGAAGGTGCTGGTGGTGGCGGCTCTGGCAAAGAAGGTGATGCTGTTGGCGGCTCTGGCAAAGAAGGTGCTGGTGGTAGCGGCTCTGGCAAAGAAGGTGCTGGTGGTGTCGGCTCTGGCCAAGAAGGTGTTGTTGGTTGCGGCCCTGGCAAAGAAGGTGCTGGTGTTGGCGGCTCTGGCAAAGAAGGTGCTGGTGGTGGCGGCTCTGGCAAAGAAGGTGATGCTGTTGGCGGCTCTGGCAAAGAAGGTGCTGGTGGTAGCGGCTCTGGCAAAGAAGGTGCTGGTGGTGTCGGCTCTGGCCAAGAAGGTGTTGTTGGTTGCGGCCCTGGCAAAGAAGGTGCTGGTGTTGGCGGCTCTGGCAAAGAAGGTGCTGGTGGTGGCGGCTCTGGCAAAGAAGGTGATGCTGTTGGCGGCTCTGGCAAAGAAGGTGCTGGTGGTAGCGGCTCTGGCAAAGAAGGTGCTGGTGGTGTCGGCTCTGGCCAAGAAGGTGTTGTTGGTTGCGGCTCTGGTAAAGAAGGTGCTGGTGGTAGCGGCTCTAGCCCAGAAGGTGCTGGTGGTGGTGGCTCCGGCCAAGAAGGTGTTGTTGGTGGCGGCTCCGGCCAAGAAGGTGTTGTTGGTGGCGGCTCTGGCCAAGAAGGTGTTGTTAGTGGCGGCTCTGGCCAAGAAGGTGTTATTGGTGGCGGCTCTGGCAAAGAAGGTGATGCTTGTGGCGGCTCTGGCCAAGCAAGTGTTGGTAGTATTGGCTCGGACCAAGGTGGCGTTGATGGTAGCGGCTCGGACCAAGGAGGTGATGGTGGCGGTGGCTCTGGCTTTGATGATTCATTTGCAACATATGATGAAGAAACAAAGGAAGAGCAAGGATCGATTATGTTAAATGGACAGAACCCATGTTCAGACGATTCCCATAGAAAAGGGCGGGATAATGATATTCGAGATTCACCGAAACAAAATTTCAAGTCATCTTCTCTTGGTTCTGAATGTGACGCAAGCAAAGAAACAGGAAGTGCATCAAACGGCAAGCGTGGGAAACGTCTTCTTCCTCGGCCTTCTCACTCAGACACGTCCGTGTGTACGGGGAAACGACGACGACTCAAGAGTATTTTATCAGACGGAAAAGACAAAATGAGAAATGGTGGTAAACGGAAGTCACAAACGAACGCGCAATCAAAGAAGTCATCAGGTGGACAAGGCTTAGGCAGAAGATTGATACAAGCCACGTGCGCCGTGGTGTCAGTCGCGGGGTTAATGGGTGCAATGGTTCAGGGCCCCTCGGGGTGTCCATGGCCCCCTGCCTTGGTGGAAGATATGTCAAGGATAATTGATCTGGACTACTTATAAATGTCGCTAACAACTGTGTGCAATCAATAACGGGAGAAATACGTTGTTTGTTATTTATGTGTTTTCCTTTCTAATTTAAAAGGGTTTTCATGTTTTCACCAATGCCGGGGGTAGAAATTAACATAAAATACATTTTACTTGAAATGTTTTGATTTGCTTAAAGCAAAAGTTGATGTTAGTTCAAACCATATTTTATTTCAGCATGATATATGTCAAACTTACATACATACAACAAATCAATACAGAGTTCAGAAATAAGTATTAAGATCTTTGTGTAAATATATCTCCTTAATACCCGACAAACTGGAAATTACCAAATTCAACGTGACGTCACGAAAGAAGAAAAATAATAATAATGATGATGATTTTTATGCATAACCGATTATGGCACTACCTGCTAAAGCTGGTATGATATAGTTAAGAAGATAACTTACTAAATATATATAAATATTAGTCAATTATCACTTTTCGGAATTCTTCATATTACGTATGCATTGCTATTAATATATACCTGTCTTTGACACTGTAACGCTATATAATCTAACCAAGTTCAGATGACATTCATATAAGCTATAAATGCACTGACCCACGTGTTGACGTCTTCATTACTATGACGTCATAATTGAAAGGTTGGATACCACTAATCCTCTTTTAAAGATGACTATTTTTTATTTAACATGCATAAAAGATACATGCACCTTTTTAAATGATTATTTCATAATCGTGTGAAATAAATAAAGTTTATATATAAAGGAGTAATACATTATAGTTATCAATCATGATTGGAGACTTGCATGCTGTGCCGTTCGATCGTTAGCAAGCAATCTAGCTTCCTGAAATTTATGGAAAAAATATGACTATTGCATGTACCGGATACGCTTATATTTTTTCAAGTGCCTGGTCTCGCTTCTGGAATTTATTGGGTACTAGCATAGTTTTATTTATATTTTGGTGTATTTTCATACCAGATTTGAGTGGGGACTTTTTTGTATATTGACGATGTGTTTTGTATTTAAGGAAACATTGTTGATGTATATCTGTATTATTTAAATTTTAACATAAGTATTTTACATAGTTATTGATATATTTTGGCTTTTGGAAATGGATACTATTATAAACTGAGTTTTATATCACTTTTACATTACACAAGGATAGCATTTATAGTGGTAATTTTTCGAAGATAGTAGCATGTACCGGATACGCTTATATTTTTTCAAGTGCCTGGTCTCGCTTCTGGAATTTATTGGGTACTAGCATAGTTTTATTTATATTTTGGTGTATTTTCATACCAGATTTGAGTGGGGACTTTTTTGTATATTGACGATGTGTTTTGTATTTAAGGAAACATTGTTGATGTATATCTGTATTATTTAAATTTTAACATAAGTATTTTACATAGTTATTGATATATTTTGGCTTTTGGAAATGGATACTATTATAAACTGAGTTTTATATCACTTTTACATTACACAAGGATAGCATTTATAGTGGTAATTTTTCGAAGATAGTAACAAGGAAAGGTGTTCAATGACTTCCTAGTGTAGTCTTAATATATATTTTATTGTATGTAGTAAAAAGATTTTCAGTAATGAAATTATATATAAATGGCGGAATATCTTAATATAACACGCAGGAATGGAATCACCATGCTTTAATAAGATTTCTTTGAATAACACCAGAATGAGTAATACAAGCAATTATCATTGACATGCTGATGGATGAGTTTATTGAAAAGTGAACTCATATATTGTCAACTAATATATAATTGTTATCAATTACCTATTATAAGATTGATTATGGATCCCTAATATTGTACTTTTGACTGTAAAATATCATTAATTGGTTGTATATTTATAGAATAAACTGTTAACATTTTTTGGTTTCCTATAACCGTTGAAACTTATTTTGGATATATAGTAATTTTTACATTTTCGCTGAAAATTCATGTATAACTGTTCCCATTTATACACCTTTATGGCTAAGAAAGTATATTGTTATTACTTTTATAACATTTACTTACTAAATGTTGAAATAAAATTCAGGATGTATTTCGATTATTTCACAAAACAGGATAAGTGGAATCTAAAACGATCAATGTCTTTCATTATGGAGACTTCAAGACAATGGTATGATAAAACAAAGAATAGTTTTAAACTGTTGAAGAGTTTCCTGTTATTTTGATTCATAACAGTTACCGTAATTATTCACTTAGATGCTCAAATCTCAATCAGGATATTTGAACGATTCTTTCCCGAAACTTACTAATCGGGATTTTAATGATCAATGCTTGATAGTATGATGACTTCAGGACAATGATGTAATGTCAAATCATATATCATTTAAATGTTTTGAATTTTTTCCTGTTATTTATTTCATAATATATGCTCTAGCCATTCTCTTTAATGCTCAAATCTCAGTCAATTTATTTATACATTTATTTATTCATTCATTCATGCATTCATTCACTCACTCACTCACTCACTCAATAATGCATTTATTGATTTATTTATATGGATGGTATACAATCAAATATGTGAATTTGTTTATAGAATAAGTAAAAATATTTTCCATGACATTAGTATTAAGAAAACCAAATATTCTTTTTATTACTACATATGGGTTCAACTGTGAATTATGGCAGACTGTTAGTCATTTAGTTCCTCAAGTAATTATTTGATATTATGCATTAAGTAAATCATAACTATCTGGTGTTCATTTAACGTTGCAATCATGAAAAACATTGTCCCAATAATTCTCACTCTCTCTCGTTACCACTAGCCCTCCATCACTGGGTCGCGGGTTCGAGGCCTACGTAGGGCAGTTACCAGGTACTGGCCGTCGGTCGGTGGGGGTTTTATCCGGGAACTCCGGCTTTCCTCCACCACCAAAACCTGACACGTCCTAAAATGACCTTAGCTGTTAATAGGCCGTAAAACACAAACAACCCAAACCAAACCAAACCAAACCAAACTCTCTAGTAGTACAGTACAAGAGGTAATGAATGGTTTCTATTTATGTGAAATGAAACTTTATCGAAATTAGAACAACCAGTTGAATAAATTGGATATTGCAGTATGTCGGTTTAGTTTAAATACAGAAGAACTTATTGTTTGGCCATTATATCATGTTACATATTACAGAATGACATTTCATACAGCTCTAAATGTAAGTTAAACAATGTTTTGTGAGAAACGTTTATACAAGTCAAAAGGTATCATTATCATTATGGAAAATCGCCAGCGAAACTATTAAATGACGTTTTGTGTCAACAGGTGAAATTGTCCATTGGGTTATTTTGAAATGGAACTTAATATTCCATCGAGCATATATGACTTGAGAAGGAACTTTCTAGGAAGGTTAACATATAATTTAAAGATATTAAGGGATAGAGTTAATATACTCAATCCTTTTCTCTATTATATAAAGTACTGCGAAAGTGTTAATGCTCGTAGTGTAAAAATGCTGGCGTTTTTCGCATTGAGTAAATTAGTGCGACAAAATCTACACGCGAGTATTACATATATTTATAGATTAAAGGTAAATAGAGCACATAGATTTCATTGCCAACGCGAAAATATATACACCGCGAATAGTTTAAAGACGCATTTTTTTTTATATACTTATGATGTTTGAGATATTTATAGTGATGTCAGTAGAAAATCTTCTTTACCATAAAACGTGAATTTGTCTACTGCTTATTTTAATTTTCGAGTAGTTAATATTTGCGTTCATTTTGAAAATTGAAAAGCACTTATAATTGAAGCCGGCGATTTATTCATTTTCAAGAGTGTTTTGTTGATTAATAAGATTTTCATTGGAAATACTCCTCTGTTCTGTCATAATAATGTTATTTACTCATATATATTTTATTTATTTTACAACAATAATGAAACAATTTTATTCAACTGACATTAATCTCTCTTGTTGGCCCGGACATAAGCGCGCAGGTCTTCATGTGGGAGGAAACCGGAGTACCCGGGTAAAACCCACTGATTAGAGTGGAGGAATTCACTAATTATTAACGAATCATCACTGCAAATATTTCGAATAGAAAGCTTGTGTTTATGATTTCGATGAAGCAATATAGAGATTTATGCATTTAAAGATATAGCTTGTTTACACAGAAGCTAGTACACGTGAACTAAATAAAAACAATTAAATTTGACGTAAAACATTTCTATGGACGATTAAATATGAAATAGTAAAAGTACAACAATACGTTGGCTAAAACCACAGTAGCTGTGCGTCAGAAAGGAACATATCTATCAACGAAAACAAACTTCCGTTGTCAATATTTTTGATCATAATAAATGCGCCGAATCATCTATTTACAGGGCGAACAAAGACAATCACGACTCACGATTTTTTTTCCGGTTAGAGCCAGAGCCTGAATGTGTTTATGTGTGAACTAGGTTAGTTATTATTCGTTAGGATGCGGGTGTCCGGTCCCGAGGTTTGATGGACGAGCGGAGGTACTCCCGTAACCATAATTGATCAGCCCGTAGTCATGTTGTGACGTTATTGAATGAGAATGACGAGAGCCGAACCAACAGCCAATCTGATTGGCTGTTTAATGTGTCCATCATTATGCAAATTACTTGAAAACACAATATCGTTATGCTCTCTAACGTAACTATGTCATCGAACTTGATTGATAAAAAAACCACGCATAGCTATCCTCATTGGTCGGAATATACCACGCATATTTGGAGGATAATGATCGGTCGAGTGTGGCGGCTGGTTTATAAGACGGGGTTGCAAGCTGTGTTTTGTAAGGCAAAGTTCTTCTCATAAAGCTGAACTTCGGTGAATGAGTTAATGCTTGTTTGTAAATAGACGACACGCCACACATACATGCTCGTTTTTTACGTGTCCAGGAAGTTGAAGATTGGTCCGTGTATATACAGGTAAGGAATGTTTCTTTATATAGTTGATATATACATGTTGACAAGTATGTAAAAGGAGCTCACTCTTATCATTCCTCCTAGTGTTGATTGATATGAGTTATTAATAGTTTTTATTCTTGTAGCACATCACACCACTTTCTGGAATTTTTGTTCTCTGGTTTTACGTATTTCATAAACTTATGCAAATTGTGTGACGCATAACTTGCACATTAATAATAATTATCATTTCTTAGTTACGATGCACGCATATTGTATATCAAGTTCAACAAAACATAAATTTTATAATTGCTTTATCATGATAGCATGATTCTTCTTTACGAAAAACTATGGTTATATATAAACCTATCCATCATTTAAGTTAACAAGCCTCTCGAAATGTATCCGGTCTGTCGGTCTATGACGTATCACCGTATTAGTAAATAGACACACGTTGAGAGGAGTTGGTGTACTTAAACATGTACTAAATTGTATCTAATTAACAGCTTTTTATATTTTCAGCTATAAAAGAAGCGAAGATTCGTTTCCAGCAGCAAACTTGTGCGCTCATCCAACAGTGCACACCCAGCAGTAGAGACGTTTCTACTTGACCGTGCGATCTCATAGATACAGAATACAGCTTTATTCATTGTTCATCATTACTGAAGAAGAAAATCATGGAGGGAAATATGCTGATATTGGTCACATTCATTATATTTGTTCCGTCCGTGTTCACAAAAATGTTCATCCTTCAAGCCGATAATTCAAGAACGAGGGAAAATCATATGGTCATAAATTTGGGGAACGCTTCTAATGGAAATGCTCTCTTGATTACGGAACAGGAACCGCTGTCCATAAACTTCTGCATAAGGGAAAAGACCACTGTACGACTCAACAACTTTAGATTTTCAATTGATAATGAAAATGCGCTATTTACGGTAAACCTGGATCACGGGTATTGGCTTGGCACCTATTACTCACCGCCTAGAGGTGGGCGGGAGGACTTTATCGACACCGGCGCGTTTCCCCGCGTGTATAACTTCGATGCCGGATGGCACGTTCTGAAAGTTGATGTTAGACCTGGGTCGGCAAATATAACAGTGGACAACATCGAATTTGAGATTACTGACGAAAGGATGAACTTAGACATTCTCCAATGCTCTATAATGTGTATACAGGAGGCAAAGTTTGTCGGGAGACATCCTTCTCAAACCGCGGCTACTGAAACTGCCTACATATCACAGCAGTCATACGACACCAAATGTGCTGAGGTGGACAACGTCAACATCCCTATCTACAATCCTGAAGTGAGTCAATTCCTCATCACGGCTACTCTTCCACAGTACAAATCATTTGCTAATCGTCGCCATGACAACCTCACAAACTGCCCACATCTGCCACCACAACTGTGGAGATTCTCTGACTTTACCGCAAGTTCTGATACTGAAAGAATACAAGGTAAAAATTCCAGCCTCATCTTTATTCCAAAAGACTTCAGTTCACGAAAATCTATCGCTATCATTGCTTCATTTAAACTGGAAGGTGAAAAAGAAGGGAGCATTGACTCAAAAATTGGAAACGAACTATATTTGAGGTTCAGAAACTTGAGTGTCCCTGTTACAGTTATGATGCAATACCGGGAAAACACTGGACGTTTATCAGATGCTTCAGTGCGAACATTCGATCCACACTCTCTGGAACATATGTGGACTATCCCGGATTTCACGTGGATTGAAGACACCGAGAACTACATTGTGCTTTCCATGGAAGCTGATGTCAATGTCAAATTCGAGGTTAGTTATCTTCAGTTAATCAAAAGACCCATGGTCCCAGATGCAGTTTCAACTATTTATAGAAGCGACGACGTCATTATTGAGGCAGTGAATGTCCAACTTTCCTGGCTGGCACCAAAAACAATGACGGTACGTCTAAGCAGTGGAGGCATTGCGGAAAATATCACATTCATTCGCATTTACCGACCGATTCCCTGGAACAACGGGTATGCACAGGTTTTCGTTCTTTATAATGACGGAAATGTACGACTTCTACCGACTGCTCCGGAAGGAACCGATTGGATCCCATTCGGAACCTCGGTCATTGTTGGTCAGACTAAAAGCGACCGAGTGAGACCATACACTGTTATAACACAGGTCGATATCATTCCTGAGCGCTGGCAAATGAAGGTTTACTATGAGGACGGCAGCTCAGTCAAAATGAGCCTGAACAGCACAAGTGATGAAACCCAACTTCTTGTTAGTGATATGGATTTTATGCAAGATCGCTTCACTCACCCTTTTGCTACCATTCGCTCCATGTACGTGGATGAGGGAAACACGGATGTGGACAGTGTGAAGATTGACAACAAACAGACGTACCATATCATGGACAAGTGGGGATCCCTTGATGGAAGATCTTTTGCCTTCCACCGCAGGTGTATATCAACTCACCTTACCCTTAGTCCGGATATTCAGGTAGACATACTCGAGACCAAGCAGGCAACGACAACACCTCAAGTGTCGCCAAACAGTATATAGATCAACGTGGGGTTCGTTTCGTAAAACACTATGTTGATCAATCTGGCACTCGACTGACTGAAGTTGCTGTGGCTGGAAAATTTATATATCAGATTTACAGTATAGGTGTAAGATTACACAAACTAGCGTCCACTTTGTGGTCTTGACTTCGGGAACGAAATTTATAGGTTAGACATACACTAGCTATTTGCGTACTTATTGTTTAAGAACTATATGTAGGTCAACCTTACGTCGAATTTGAAATCCAATATTACATTTATGTTGTACGATGGTTTTCTAATGTTGGTAAATTATATATAATGTCTGTCTCAAAATTTTGCGTGTTGAGAAGCATTTTTATAATATCAATTCAAGATATCAATTTTGTCCTACCTTATACAATGTATCCGTAGTAATTATTAATGAATTATCAGTTTCTATCATATGTTACATGTTCTTCAAGAGGATTCGTTTGAGAGAAATGAGAAAGCTAACTGGACCGTTATGTTTGAAGTATGATCAGGATATCAAATTTAAAAAAATAGTTTTTTCGAGAAATTGATTAAAAATAAGATTACATATTTCTTGAACTTTAAAAGAAAAACAAAATAATAGCTACAAACATTTTTAATAACATAAATTCATTATTAGATGAAAATATCTTTTTCGTTAATCTAACAAGACTTTGAACATACGGGTCCTGGTGTTTGTAAGATGTATAACGGTTTCTATAAATCCAAAAAATCATACATGATCTCATCTTTGTTGCCTTGCAGTATAACCTGTTAATAGTTGGGAGTGTGAGCGTGTGTATCATAACGCATTTGTTATATTTTAATTAAAATCAATGGAGGTATTCGAGTATCGCTGTACATGTATATTGACTCTATCAATCAAAATTGATTAATATGATCATTGAACATGAAAGATTGACCATGTTAATTAACCAAAGAAAAAACCCATTCACAGATTAAAAATAATTATCAATTCGCCATTTTTATGATAATTGATCTTATAAATGTATTTGTATGTAGTAGGGATTTGAGTGTCGTTTATCGTTGTCAGTTGTGGCTGACACAATTAGCTATAGTCAGTGATGCGTTACATTTTAAACATAAGATAACAACCCTTTTTTCTGAAAATCTGTCTGAATTTCTTAAATATGTGTTGCTAGAAAATAGTTTCCTTTCTTATATAAAGAAAATTTAAAATTTTCGTAAAGGCGATGCAATTGAAGGAAGTGTTAAATAGTATATGAAATATATAAAATTAGGTTTACCCCAATGTAGTATGAATGTGTATTTCGTGTCTTTGTTAAATAATTTATTATGTTGTTGTTTCCGCCACCATCAATCATAACTCTACTGTGTGTTAAACATGTCATAACTGTCATTAAATATTTAATTATTTATGTCAATAAATCGAGTTCAAAATATGATTGTGGTTTTATTGGTTTATATATATATATATATATATATATATATATATATGACATACACAAACAATTCGATAATTTTGAATATATTATGTACATGTATTTGCAATGGAAATTAATATACAACAAAACACTTAAATGCTTTACTCACATATGCATATAACATGTTTCATACAAGATATATATTTCAATCAAAGTCTAAGAAAGTTTAGTTTCACCATGCTTACTAGATATAACCCAGTTTTGCCATGATATTCTACATTATCAATGCTTTCACTTTAATCAACGTTTTAAAAAAAATAAACACAAACAATGAACGTGTTTTACGTTTCGCAACATTTCAAGACCGACTGGTCCCTTTGTCAAGCTATAATTGAGTGAGCGATTTATATGGTTTACCTGTACAACTATGTGACAAAATTGTAAAATTCCTATGTCACTCGACCCAGGATATTTTGCTTATCGATACGCACATACACACGTTTATCACGTAATTGCGCCTAATTGTTTGTGTATAAAGAAAAACTTTGATAAAACATATTTGCAAACTTATGAACACTGCTTTAACTCTATTGTGACCAACATAATTCAGCAAATTTGTCACAACAGTTACACGAGAGGTGAAGGGGACGATCACTTATCCATAGTTTTTTTTTATCTCGTCATCATGATGTCGTTGGAAACTTTCATTTTCCTTGTGTGATATGACGGTCAATGTTTCGATTTTACCCGTTAGAGTGCCTTTGTTTTACCTTAGTTCTCGCTGTGAGGATTTGCCTGGATTTGATTAATGTGTAAAGGGCTGGTGACGTCGATAAAGTAAATGACGTTTACCTTTCAGGAACACCTGTTCCCATTTCTTCTTTTTCTTTTTCAATGGTCTCGTGCAATTTTTTTTTCATTTTTTTTCTACCTTAAGTTTCATCGATTTCAAGTTCGAATTATGTTTTTTTATGCTTCGGTATCAAATTTTCTTTTCTCCTCTGATCTTTCCCTTTGCCTAAATAAGTTAATTCGGTTATTGAAGTCGGTTTGTTTAACGCATTGCTATCGATTTTGCCCTTGTGTTGACACGAGATACACTTGTTTTTCTACATTACATTTAAATAATAGGTAGGCTGATATTTTGGGGACACAAGAAATGTGAAAGTATACTATCATTCAATTATTTTTCTTTTTCTTTTTCTTTTTGTTTTGCTTATATTATATTTACACAATTCATCTAGACGATCAATCTAATGATTGATAAGAAAAATGAACATGTCATGGTTTCTTAACAATTTCATAGGCTCATCAGATAAATTACGATCTCATCAATGTCCTCTTTGTGAGCTCTACAACAAAACAGATATACTCATCACATTCTTCAGCACCCAATCAACTACAAAATCTGAGGATTCCGTTTTTGATACACTCGTCCTCTATGCATTCTTAAAAGAAGCCATGACAAAATAGAAAGCAAGCTTTTTGATTGGTTTCATGTGTCAAATCTAACAAATTGCTAGGATGATTCGTGTCCTTTAAAGATTACAGAAGAGCTACAACCAACTTCAAAGCATGTTAATTTTACCGATTACACTACCGCGTGATCCCTTTCCCCACGCGCCAAACTGGTCTACAAATATCATCCGCAAGATGTCGTTTAAATAAACTTCGATTTCTAAAGACATATTCCAAGGATGCAGAAAAGAAACGAACATCGAGAGCGGAAACCTTAGATTTCGACGATGCCCCAAACCCATTCATAAAGTTGTACCATCATCCAGTGGGATACCAAGATGTCACGTTTTACCCAAAATGTAAAGCTTAGTATATAATATTCTAAAAGTGGATAAGTATATGGTTTCGAATAATATAACGAATCCTATATTCAAACAACGTGAGCTCTCCTGTCACTCAAATAAAAGTTCACACATTAGGAAATATTTCATTCTTCTTTTAATTTTTTTTATTTATAAAGATAATGTTTTCCCGTCGTGTTTATCATGTATACTTTTTCATATTACTCTCATTTTTTCACAACAATTTCCTTAAGCAATACGTTAATTGTACGCCTAAAACACTGAAAGGCGACATTATATCACTGGCTTTACTGTAAAAAAATGTGTAATATATACTTTATCACAATGGCAATATATATTTAAAACATTATGTAATAAAGCCAATTAACAGGTAAATCAATGCAATCAAGCGGAACAATCTAATGAACAGTGTGCCTGTTCAGTTGACATTTTAGGTCACCTGAGACAACGTCTCAGTTGAGCTATTGCGATCGGTTTTTGTCCTCCGTCATCTGTTCTGCGTCGTGAATCCGTAAACAGTTCATATTTTTAACTCCTCCAAAATCTCTGAACCAATTTAAATACATTTTGTTGGTAGGTGCCATGGCCAAAGGCAATTCAAAATTGTAATTATGTAGATCTAACCCCAAGGAGGGCGGGCCTAATGGTTAAGATAAGTTAAAATTTCAAAAATCATATTCAGACGGAGATATGCTAGAATCAAATACTTTCCATAGATGGAAAGGCTCTGAGGTATTTTATCAAATTGTGAATTTCATTACACAAGGGTCTCCTTCCTTGAGGAGGGAGATAACTTTACTCCATTACAATGTTTGTGATTATCGTACTGTTTTCATACATTTAAAGGTTATATAAATGATTTATGTTCGTCAATCCCCAACTCCATTTTTGTAAATGCCAATGAATAGTCAAAGAATGCATTTTGCTGGATCAATGTAATCAAAATTCTATTTTCGTTTGCTTCCTAAATAACATGCGAAACATCATCTTGGGGACCAAATTGAAATTGAATTTTATTTGCATTGTGGTTTTATGTACTATTATTCTTTGTCACATCACAACAGCAATTTACAATTGCACTTTAACTCAGGTGACCTAACGTTAATATCCACGGGCCTCTTGTTAATGTTTTAACTCTCGTTAAAGTCTGCCCTTATAACGGCATATATATATCACTCCACAGCGGCAATAAAACCAGTGATATATGTCGCCTTACGATTTCGTAGGTGTACTCTTTTGTTATGGCTGAGGTAAATTTGTTGCGGTCAAATAAAAGTGATATATTACAAACACGGAAAAACTTCTGGTTTTTTTCCGGAATTTTATTATTAAACATAAAATGAAATATTTCCTGATGTATACACTTTTAAGTGATTAGAAAGAGTTCACATTGATATTAATATCAGATTTGTCATGTTTAGGGAAAAGGAAATACGACATCATATACTGTTTGTTATAATATGTTAAGCTTACAGTTTGGGTTTACTTGTGGTATCACACTGAATTGTGGTAAAACTTGATTTATTAGTCAAGGGTTCGGGGAGTGTAAAAAGGTGGTTTCGGTGACCTCTGCATACGGGACTTTGAAGACCCCACATTTCGCAATTGACCTTTGTTAAATTGTAATGATAAGGAAATACATCTCTACTGTTCTCTTACCCAAGGAATATGAGGTGACATAAGACATATAAAAAAAGTTTAATAGAGGCTATTTTGGTTTCTTATTGAATAACAGTTTTGAGTGAAGGAATAGTTTGATATTTTGATTTGAGTAAACAATATGAAAAAATAAACGTTTGTTTGTTTGAGTGGTTTTACGTCCGCTTCACTTACGTCCGAGTAGTTCAGTTATCTAGCAGACGAGAAACCCATTCAACCAACGGTTGAGTTTTTTTTATAAGGACACGTGCTTACGTGAACAAATAATCCAAGTCTTTGGGAACGGGGAATGCTGTATTACAAGGTCACAATAAGAAAGCGTCACGCCACGATTATTGTGACGTCACAATCGACAACGTCCATTGTTTGTTATTTTTAACACTATATCCTCCGTTTTTTATTGGTCGGTATAAGTGTGAAAATAACAATCAAGAGGCCCAGAGGGACTGTATATCTCACCTGTTTCTTGTGTTACATGAAAGTGATATATAGGTAACTTCAGACCAAATTTCGTAACTAAAACACAAGACATTTTAACATCTCTTAAACGGTTCTTAAGATATTGTTGTTAAAAATTAAAAATTTTAATTTACAAGCTTTTAACCCACGTTGACTTTTGACTCCGGCTAGCACTTAAAGTTGACCTTTGACTTCATTATTATATTAAAGAAAAGATTCACACAGCTGGTCTACATAACATACC